GGCATTCTTTCTCTGTTGTTGAATAGTAAGCCTCTGCGCGTGTTAGCGTTCGGCTTGCGTAGGCGATCACTCTTTCTGTGTCGTCTTGCCGTTGCACAAGCACAGCCCCAAGACCTACATTCCTAGCGTCTGTGTGAAGCATCGTCGGGGCTTCTTCGTTGAAGTGGGCAAGCACTGGGTGCGTTTGAAGACGTTGACCCAGGTCATTAAAGGCAGCCTCCTGTTCTTCTTTCCACTCCAAGGCAACATCTTCTCTTGTTAGACGAGTTAGTGGCTTCGCGTTGCGGGCGAAGTCTGCGATAAATCGGCGATAATAGGCACAAAGGCTCAGGAAACGTCTGACAGCCTTCTTATTGGAGGGTACTGGGAACTGTGCGACGGCGGCAATTTTTCCAGGATTGGGCCGGACGCCTGCGTTGCTGACGACGTGATCGAGAAACTGAAGTTCGTGAAAACAAAAATGACACTTTTTTGGTTTCAATGTCAGGCCCGCGAACTGTATGGCACGTAAAACAACTTCCAGCCTTTTGAGATGCTCATCAAAAGTAGTCGAAAACACTATAACGTCGTCCAGATAGACTAGGCACGTCTTCCACTTCCATCGCGAAAGTACCGTGTCGATAAGCCTGTGAAAAGTCGCGGGCGCGGAGCACAAACCGAAAGGCAAGACTTTAAATTCGTATAAACCATCTGGCGTCACAAAAGCGGTTTTCTCCTGGTCTCTTGGGTCTACCTCAATCTGCCAGTATCCACTCCTCAAGTTCATGGAAGAAAAGTAGCGAGCGTGCCAAAGTCTGTCAAGGGTGTCATCAATACATGCGAGTGAATACACATCTTTCTTGGTCACCCGATTCAGCTTCTTGTAGTCCACGCAAAAACGCAGGGTGCCATTTTCTTTGTTTACTAGCACTACAGGCGATGACCAGGGGCTCTGTTACGGTTGAATGACGTCATTTGCAGGCATTTTCGCGACTTGTTGTTGTATGGCTTTGCGTTCCTTTGGAGCTACATGATAAGGGTTCTGGTGGACAGGTCTCACCGTATCCTCGGTGATTATTCGGTGCTTTGTCAAAGCTGTTCGACCAACTCGTGATGTCGTTGAAAAGCAGTCGCGAAATTCGGCTAGCAGCTGAAGAAGTCTCTGTCGCTCGTCCTTTGACAGGGTGGTGCCAACGTCGAGAACGGGTTCTGGTTCTTGATTAGGCACTTCGTAAAATACCGACAAACATAAACTGCCTCGCATTTCCACAATATTGTCATACGAAGCGATAGCTGTGCCCTTCGAAAGGTGCCAGCGCTCAGCACTAAAGTTCGTCAGAAATAAATTCGTTCGTCCACCAGTGAGACGGACGATACCTCGTGTGACTGAAATGCCATGACTAAATAGCAGCGAGCCAATTTGGTCAGCAATGCCTTCGCCATCAAACGCTTCGTGGCCTTCCACCGAAACAAGAGTGCATGACCGGGGCGGGACGACCACATCATGATCAATTGTACGTAAAGTGTTACGTATTGCGTCTGAACAGTCAACTAAACCATGGCTGTTGCTGAATGTAATTGAACGGTCCGGGATGTTGATGACGGCACCATATTCTCTTAAGAAGACCATCCCTATGATCAAGTCCTTGCAACATGAGGTGAGGATAACGAACGTCGCCACGAAAGAAGAGCCACCGATGTCGAGTCTTGCTGTACACCTTCCGACAGGAATCAACAGCTGGCCACCTGCTGTCCTCACGTGAGGTCCCGTCCACGTAGTCTTCACTTTTTTGAGGCGTATGGCAAGGTTTTCACTTATGATAGAAAAGTCGGTGCCGGTGTCAACTAAGGCTGTTACTTGCTGTCCGTCTACCGAAACGGTAAGATATGTGATCACAGTTTCGTCGGTGTTACAACTTCTCGGCTTTATGGCGTCCTGCAACCTCACCCCCGGAGGTCGCCGCCTTCGGTTTCTCCGGCGTAGACTCGGTGACCTCCTTCCAACGATGTTGGCTGTAGTTCAGTGGCGCGACGAAGGCGAATATGCCGGAGACGGAGAGCGTGGTCGACGTCCCAAACCTGGCTGGTAATCAGGCACACTGTCGTCATTATTGGCACGGCGGTTGTCAAAATGTGACTTATACAAGGGGGGTCCTTGAGAATGAGCCTCCCGGCGTGGTGCGTAGCCGTCGTTGGCGCGTCGATCGTCAGACCATTGCCGAAGAGGTCGAAACATATCTACGTGGCGCCAGCAATGGCGGGAAATGTGGCGCACACCTTCGCAGGTAAAACAAAGCGGACGCCTATCTACCGTGCGCCAGGCGTCTGTTTTACGAAGCTGTGGACGCCGCAACGGCTCGTAATGTGGCAAATGCCGTGTCTCGTTGGGAGACGGCTCTTGGTACGGCGACATTTAGTACGGCGGCACGACGGCAGGTGTGTCTGTTCTTGCGGTGGCGACCAAGGAACGGCTGCCGATGGCTGGCGGTACGACGGCGGAACGGGCGGTGGGCGGCGAAGCGCGGCTGCGTAGCTCATAGGTTGCTGATCGTCAGTAGGATCAGCTGTTGAAAACGCTTGGCGTATTTTTTCGCGGACGACTTCAGCTACAAACGCCGTGGGTGGTTCCGTGACTAGAATCCGCACCTTCAGCAGCTATTCGCGAACAATCTCTCTTATTAAATCGCGCTACAAGCTTTGTTCGTCAGATGTCGTAGCGGCGACTTGAATGTGGGCGCTGCCGGACAAGCGATCGTATTGTCGGCATCGTAGGTGAAGTGCCCGCTCGATAGCCGTAGCTTCTTTGATGAAGTCTGTCACGGTGCTTGGCGGGTTCCGCAAAAGTCCGGCGAACAAGTGCTCTTTAACGCCGCGCATGAGGTAGCGCAACTTTTTGTCGTCGGTCATGTGCGGGTCAGCTTTACGGAAGAGACGGGCCATGTCCTCAGCGAACATTGCGACCATTTCATTGGGTTTCTGAACCCATAGCTCGAGTAAATGCTGCGCATGTTCGCGCCGGTTGACATCGGCAAATGTGTCAATCATCCCTCTTTTAAAGTCATTCCATGTTGACAAACTGCCTTCTCTGTTTTCGTACCAAGTTCGAGCGCTGTCGTGGAGATAAAAAATGCGCGGGAAAGCCTTTGTTCAAGAGACCACTGGTTGGTGTTGGCGACACGTTCATAGTGATCAAGCCAGTCTTCGACGTCTTCATGTGCTTCACCACCAAAGCGATCAGGCACCAGCGGTGCAAAAAGGGTTACCTGAGATGGTGTTGCCAAACTACTGTCTCGTAGTAACTGTTGTGAACTGGCGGTGGCCATTGGTAGATGTGAGTGGTGCCTTGTAGAGTGTTCCTGTGAGAGAGTGAACTCTGGAAGGAGACCTCGCAAGCGACGACTGAAGCGATGCACGGTAGTGTCGACGGGTGCTTCTGGGCTGGATGAATAGCTCCCCGTGGGAGTGTGGAGCATCAGGCGGGGTCGCGGGCCAGCACCTCTACCAGTGTGGCAGTACAACTATAGGTATATGTATATATATATATATATATATATATATATATATATATATATATATATATGTGTGTGTGTGTGTGTGTGTGTGTGATGGGATATGCGGCGTGTAATAGAAGTAATTTACAGAGAATTTTGCTGGGGATTTTGTCATCGTTCGCAAGGAAGAATGCCCAAAACAGGGAATTTTCAAGTAAATTGGTATTCTTTGGTGTAGTTCAGACTATCGCTAATCGTGCGACACACAAGCAGCAACAAAAGGCAAACCAAAATGTCGGCATCGAAATGTTTTGAGAAAAACTCTTCCTTAAAGAAGTTTCTTGTAGCATGACGTTGAGCTCGTGCGGCTCCATGAACGGTTTAGCACGCTTGTTTGCAACAAATATACCGAAAGCGTGTCTTTTCTACAACCATTTAATAACTATGTGTCTTCATATTGTTTAGCCAGCCAAATGAATGCTAAGAATATGTGTGCTCACAAACATAAGGTGAATGAACACCTGGAAAATACTCTGACGTATTACTCACACCCTACAACGAATTGAACCCTGTCGCAGGAAAGTGATATTCGAAGAAGTAGTGGTAGGCAATATAATTCAGGTAGGAACATGAGTTAGGCACTTGACTGCATCATGTATTGGTTAACTATAGCGAATACTTTCTGCTAGGTTCGCTCGCTTACGGAAGAAGTGGCAGAATGAATTGAAAAAGAAAAGTCACCCGCATGTTTCCATGGCGCAAACTCGAGTAAATGCGTCACAGAGTGCGGAAGGGAGTATATTGCGTGAACGTTGCGTAATTAGGTATGTTCTGAAAATTTGTAATTGTTTTTCGTCTATAATATTCCTATTTATTGACTGAAGGACAAGTGCTGCTTTCAACGTCAAGCGAAAGCCAAATAAAAACGCCTTTGACAAAATCCCGAATGCGCAATCCAGTGCCTGTATATACGGCGCGGCTAGTAAACGATTGTGTGGCACGAGCAGCCAGTTTTATTACTAGCAGACGCTGCCTACATCGGTATTGCAAGGTGAGAGAGGAGCAGAAGAGCGACAGCTAGCATGAGACGCGAGCATGCGGCATGAGGCGCGAGTATGCGCAGTGGTGATGTGGATGGCGCCACCGACGCCGGCTCCGCAACCTCGTGCGATTCAGAAAGGTTCTGCATTAATTAGCAGTGGGAGATCGAGGCAAGCAAACTATCACACCGTTATCATGACTGCTCCATTTGGCTGCTAGGAAGGAGCTAAATGATGAATAGAATTCACGAGAAAGTGGGGAAATGGTGCGGTCACGCAGTCACATTTATTTATTTTCTAAATAACCTCTCTTCGCTGGGAGTCTTTTCTTCTTAACTTGCTTTTTGTTTTCGATTGCGATACTTGTGGGCGATTACTTACTTTCTATCAATTCTCTGGGGGAGTTTTATTGCATGTAGCCGTATATCGTGCAGAACATTATAAAGATCGATTTCACATTTTGATTGAATAGCTGTTCCTTTTTTTTCAGAAAATCGGAGCTACCCTCTGAGCTCCTTTGGCCACATCATGGGCAGAACTAAAGTGAGTTCACCTATGCTTTGTTGCAGTTGACGTACATGCATGAACAACTGAAAATGTCATTCGAGCGTTTATTTCATAAGGATGGTGAGCTCGGTATGTCGAGGCTATGCTCTGGCTGACATTATTATCAAAGAAACACTCAGCGAAGCTAGCTTGCTCATAGAGCTAAAGCTAGTTCCTGCAGCTGAACTTAAAACGAGGGGAAAAAAGATGGCGCAAAAGAACGTTTTTGTCTGCAGCCTCTTTCTTTTCCTTGTTTTAAGTTTTGTTGCTCTAACCAATGAAGCTCTAGGTATTCCACTGCTCGAGCAACCTGACAGCAAGATAGTGGCATGCTGCGAGCTTCTCATTCGTTTCTTCAGGTTTAGCCCCCGTCGAAGCGACGACAGCTTCGCAAGCAGCGTCAATCGAAACGCCATATAGGCCATTTTCTCTACAATTTAATTTGTAAGACTTTAACTTGTTAGAAATAAAAAAAACAGTTTCTGATGCAATTTCAGGCATTCAGAAGGACCGGTAGTGCAAACGCGTAAAAAGCTCAAAAGTGACGCACTTCTGTCGACACATCGTGCCCGAAAACAAACAGCCGCGCCACGCTGCTCGTGGAAGGTAGAAAGATATGTTTATATTCAATTACAGAATGATTGCCGAATACTCTCAACAAAGTGTTGCGACATCTTGAGCTACAGGAGTGCAAGGGTGTTAGCTACAAACATATACATGGACCAGTGAATATTTCATGCCGTACGATGAACATATCACTCAGCGCTGAACGGCTTCTGTTCTTCAGATACCTACGTTAGGGCTATGCGTAGTGCGTACCTTCTTTGTACATGAACGCTGATATATGCACGTTGTTCACTGGTGTACGTGCTGAAACGTTACTTACGTGGTATAATCTTGATGTAAGCATCCATCGACTCACAGTGAAATTGTTTTCATGTAGCAGACGACACAGAGCGAACGCGACTGCTCTACCGTGATGAGGAATGATAATGATGAGGCTGCCGTCTCGGCGGACCCGACGTTTGCCCGAAAATTTGGCCCCTAGTGATAGTGACGCATGATTGACGCCGTAATCTTTCAGAAAGAAGGAATGTACGAAAACATTATTTTCTACGGTTTGGCAGGGGTCCAGCTTGACCCGACCGCTGCCGCAACGTAGGCAATAATGAAAGTTTTTGTACACTTATCTGATGAGGCCGATGTTATGCATTCAAATCGATCATCGTTCGTTTCTCTCGATCGGTTTGCAGCATCACTATAACAAAAGTGAGTATGTAAGATACTTGTGGGCTTCTAGCAAGTAATTTACTGTGATTGTAAATTGTAGCAGTGATTGCGTAGTGGTTAGAGCATCCGCCTCGCATGCAAAAGGTCCGTGGCTCAAATCCTGGTGCCGCGCAGTTCCCAACCGGATAAAAAAAATCCGCGTGGTGATGGAACTACATTAAGAGGCCTGGGGTGTGGCCTCACCGGTAACCACCGCCGGCAATGCACTCCCTCACCAGAGAAGGATTGGACACCCTAGTGCAGTATCTGGCCACGATCGTCCACATGCATACGTCAAATAACTCACGGCCCTCAGTCCCTAGCAGCTGCGAAGCAACTGACCACGGCGGCGGTCAGATCTGCAACGCAGCAGGCTAAGAATCTCTGGATCCGGAGAGGCCGCCGTTGGAACCTGAACTTGGCAACGTTTAACGATAGAACCTTATCTAGTGAGGGAAGTCTAGCTGTACTATTCGAGGAGCTAGAGGGTGTTAAATGGGATATAATAGGGCTCAGTGAGGTAAGGAGGACAGATGAGGCCTGTGCGGGTGCTACAGAATGGGCACGTCCTCTGCTATAGGAGCTTGGCTGACAGAAGAGAACTGGGAGTGGGGTTCCTAATTCACAGAAACATAGCTGGCAACATAGAGGAATACTATAGCATTAACGAAAGAGTGGTAAGTATTATAATGAAACTGAATAAAAGATACAGATGAAGGTGGTACAGGCCTACGCACCTACATCTAGCCATGATGACGCTTCAGTTGAAAGATTCTATAAAGACGTGGAATCGGCAATGAGTAAGGTAAAAACAAAGTATACTATACTGATGGGAGACTTTAATGCAAAGATAGGGAAGAAGCAGGCTGGAGACCAGGAAGTAGGAGATTATGGCATCGGTACTAGAAACGCCAGAAGAGTGCTACTAGTAGAATTCACAGAACGCAATAATTTACGGATTTTGAATACATTCTACCGAAAACAAGGAAACCTCAAGTGGACATGGAGGAGCCCTAACGGCGAAAATAAGAACGAAATATACTTTAAAATAAGTGCACACCCAGGCATCGTGCAGGATGTGGAAGTGGTTGGCAAGGTACGATGCAGTGACCATAGAATGATACGGTCTCGACTTCGCCTAGACTTGAAGAAGGAACGACAGAAACTGATACGCAAGAAGCCAATCAATGAGCTAGCACTGAGAAGGAAAGTACAGGAATTCAGAGTCTCGCTTCAGAACAGGTACTCGGCTCTTAGAGAGAAAACCAACCTTAGTGTAGATACAATGAATGTTAATCTGACGAGTATCAATACGGAGTGTGCAGTGGAAGTTGGAGGCAGGCTAGTTAGACAGGGCACTGGCAAGCTTTCCCAGGAAACAAAGAATCTCATTAAGAAACATCAAATTATGAAAGTCTCAAGTACAACAGACAAAATAGAACTGGCAGAGCTTTCAAAGTTGATTACTAGGAGTAAGGTATCCGATGTACGAAGGTATAACATGGAAAGAATTGCACACGCTCTGAAAAACGAAGGAAGCGTCAAAGCATTGAAGAGGAAACTTGGGATAGGCAAAAATCGAATGTATGTACTAAGGGACAAAGATGGAAAATTAACTACCAATATGGATAGGTTAGATAAAATAGCGGAGGAGTTTTACAGAGATCTGTACAGTAGCCGGGACAACCACGACCTTAATACTATATGAACTAGAAGTAACCTAGATGACACCCCACCAGTAATGATAGAAGAAGTCAGAAAAGCTTTGGAGAGCATGAAAAGAGGCAAAGCTGCTGGTGAGGATCAGGTAACATAAGATCTGCTGAAAGGTGGCAGACAAATTGTGTTAGAAAAACTAGACACCCAGTTTACGAGGTGTCTCGTGACGGGAAGAGTACCAGAGCATTCGAAGAACGCTAACATCATCTTAATACATAAGAAAGGAGATGACAAGAACTTGAAGAACTACAGGCTGATATACTTGCTCTCTGTAGTATACAAGCTATTTACAAAGGTAATTGCTAACAGAGTAAAGAAAACATTAAAACATTAGAATTCAGTCAACCAAAGGAACAAGCAAGATTTCAAACAGGCAACTCAACAATCGGCCACATTCATACTATTATTCAGGTAATTGAGAAATGCTCAGAATATAACCAACCCCTATACGTAGCCTTCATAGATTACGAGAAGGCGTTTGATTCAGTAGAAATATCAGCCGTCATGCAGAGACTGTGTAATCAGGGCGTCGATGAAGTATATGTAAACATCCTGGAAGAAATCTACAGGGGATTAAATGCTACCATAGTGCTTCATAAAGAAAGCAACAGAATGCCAATTAAGAAGGGTGTAAAGCAGGGGTACACAATCTCCCCAATTCTATTTACCGCGTGCTTACCGGAGGTTTTCATTAGCCTAGAATGGTAACAGTTAGAGACATGAGTTAATGGAGAATACCTTAGTAACCTGCTCTTTGCCGATGACATTGCATTGCTGAGTAACTCAGGGGACGAATTTAACTCATGATTACGGAGTTAGACAAGGAGAGCAAAAAGGTGGGTCTTAAAATTAATCCGCAGAAAACGAAAGTAATGTACAACAACCTCGGAAAAGAGCAGCGCTTTGAGATAGGTAATAGTGCGCTTCAAGTTGTAGAAGACTATGTCTACTTAGGGCAGGTAATAGCGCAGAGCCAAACCACGAGATTGGAGTAACTAGAAGAATAAGAATGAGGTAGAGCACAATTGGCAAGCACTCTCAAGGTATGACAGGTAGATTGCCACTATCCCTCAAGAGGAAGGTATAAAACAGCTGTATCTTGCCGATACATAGCTACGGTACAGAAACTGGAGACTTACAAAGAGGGTTCGGCTTAAACTGAGGACGACGCAGCGAGCAATGGAAAGAAAAATGGTAGGTGTAACCTTAAGAGACAAGAATAGAGCAGAGTGGATTAGGGAACAAACGGGGTTAAGGATATCATAGCTGAAATCAAGAAGAAGGAATGGACATGGGCCGGGCATGTAGCGCGTAGACAGGATAACCGTTGGTCATTAAGGGTAACTAACTGGATTCCCAGAGAAGGCCAGCGGGTTAGGGGGAGACAGAAGGGTAGGGGGGCAGATGAGATTAAGAAAGTGCGGGTGTAAATTGGCAGCAGCAAGCACAGGACCAGGTTAACTGGCGGAACATGGGAGATACATTTTTCCTGCAGTGGACGTAGTCAGGCTAATGATGATTATGATGATGATGATAAAATCTTGGCAACACAAGAAATTAACAGTGGTGCTTGCTGCAGGGAGCTGGAGGCAGCATGAGGCCGAAGCAAACACTGTGCTCTGATGAGCGCAATACCAGTGATCATATGAAAGTGCTCTTGTGTTTGTGAAACCTGTCATTTTATACGCGTATCTAAACTATACACAGAAGATCTTTTATTATTATTAGTTCTAAAGAGTAAATTTAGTGCAATATAGAATAAAAGTGTTTTTTCAATTTTTCAGGTAAAAGCAAATAATAATTTTACAAACGTTTTACCATAGCCGTAAGATCCACACGGCGCTTTAATCGCGTCTAATTCTCAAATCAAATCAAGTTTACTTCAAGATTTCACGTCGTTGAGGGCCATTAAGAAAAAGCCAGCAAGGCTTGACGAGGGTCATGGCCCCGTTTTTTCTGGCAGAAACAAACAACGAATGAGAACAACCCTTCAACAGTGAAACAGAAATTATAAGCTGGTGACAAAACTAATACTATTCGTTATACAAACTATAACTACATACTGGAAAGCTGAAAAGTAATCAAAGTAAAATTTCATTCCAGTAACAATACAAAAGCTTGCATTGGCTCTATGCGCATACCTTTCTCTTGCTGACCCCAGCCCGAGGACCTCTTTCAAATATGATATGATGCCAATAATGTGTCACTGTCACAAGGGGCCAAATGTTTAACCAAAGCGCCTGGAAGCCTGAGACAGCCACAACAGCATCATCATCATAATCACAGCTAGCGCAGTCGCATATGCTCTCTGTCGTCTGACACGTGGTCGGTCGGTAGACACGGCGGCATCGCCATACGAGTTCTTTCTCTTGTGTTGCTAGAAGAAATCGAACAACTGCTATCCCCTTACGAGGCATTTAAAGAAGAAAGTCATGATCTGGAGCACCGCACCGCCAGTCTGTGTCTGGCCCGTCTAATGAAGTAGGGTCAGCACGATGTTCCGTTGTACATCGAGCCGGTTGTGCCAGCTTATGTGGACCTGTTGTTCAGGCAGATGTTTAGACTGTGCAGAAGCACAGCTGCGGCTCTTGTAAAAAAATAACCTTCTTTTGTCCACGAGGTCGGATGAACGACATTGTTCGAATACTTTCAGCTCATACCTTTATTGCACCTTGAGGATCCCGTGCCTGTCAATAAGTTGAGATGCCAAGTGAAAGCCAGTGTTTTGGAAGTGTAAATTCCAATCAATATATTTCTTTTGTAAAAGCTATTGACGTCCTCTTATGCCAATCGCTGAAGCAGCATGCTCTTCATCGTTGAACCTCCTGGACAATCACGTGCAAGCCGAGCGACGACGGGCGTGCTTTAGTGAAATAAGCGTTATTTGGTTTATCACTAGAAAGAATTGCTCGTGCAAAATGTTTGGTGGTAGGGTTGAGCTGATCGGAATAGTAGGGCTGAATCCTTGCTGTCTTTATTTAAAGGCGCAATACACTGTCTCTATGAGCATATTGTGACATTTCATGATGTGGTTATGTTTAATAACTACAGCATCGCATTCACGCAAATCCATAAATCATTAGAATGCAAGCCTGGCCAACATATTGCTGAATGAAGTTGACCACAATCTACAGTACACTGTGGATAGACCTGCACAACAGCTCTCAAAAAAAGCAAGACAAGCCTGCAGACAGGCTTGACAATCAGAAAATCACACTGAAACTATTAATCAAGCTTGTAGGTAAATATAAATGTTTAATGGTGTTAGGGTCAAAAGATTTTCGGTTTAAGCTTTTTATTTTAAACTAAACTTTGCTTTTTTCACTTAACTGGCATTCTTTTAAACGCATTTCAGCATAAATAATGTGGGGTGTCAGGCTGCAGCTAGCGCTGAACTCCTCAGAGGAGACACAAAGACAGACAAGCAGCCACCTGCACTACACCGATGCAAGGCCATGGGGTATCATGAGCGCACCGGCGATGATCGTGTTCTTTTACAGTTGGAGTGCTCGTAGGCGCCGAGCATTCATACATCTATTAATTCATTTATTTGCATTTGCCCTAAGTGAATACCGTACCATAATTGAAATGATGTATTGTAGTATTGGTGCTCTAAATTTTGAAAGATGCCAATCAACTCAAACCTCAGCTTGTAGTGATAGAACTTTCAAAAAATTGTGATAGCCGTCGTACTTTATTGATTGTGGCTGATGTAAAAAAGCGCTGAATTGAAAAGAAAATGATGGTTAGGCTTATAATGTTAAATATGGTGATTGGGGTCTGTTATGCAGATACCTTTATTGATTACTGAAGAAGCAGTTCATTCACATGATCAAAAACGCATGGGATGGTCTGTAGCCTTAAACAAAGTAATACATTCTCCTTAATTTTTCATTCTCTTTTACGCACATTTGTAAAAACTACTGGTTTTGGAACATTGAAAAAACGCAGCCTTCAGAGGTTTGTGTTTGAGAACAATGTTTGGGACTTAGAGCACCTAGCTCGTTTGCTCACCTGACATTTTATGTCACCTGTAGACAATAATAGGTGCGCCAGCCAGTAGCCTATTGGAAGTTGTTGGTACATAATACATTAAGTAAATAATGTGTTTGACGCGGCGTCAGAGAAAGAGCATTAGGGTAGCTATGAGCTGTTGTGACCACTTGTCAACGCAGTGGATACTCGACTTAAAAGGCGCTAATGCTTATTTGGGAGCTCACAACTGTCTAATAAATGCTTGCGCTTTCTGCTCATGTGGCAGCCACTCAAGTTTTATCTCACAAGTCGAGTTGCTTCTTGCAAAGGACACCGAGAATATGTCGCCGTGTCGAAGCAGGGTTTGCGCGCTGGCGTAATTAACCAGTCAGCTGTAAAAGCCATTACAATGTGCATTTTACATTTGAGGAGGTCAGGTGGTCTTGGCCTAATTGTACAACTGGAAGCTGTCCACATTTGTGGGGACGACTAATGTGCAATTATTCACACAGGCAACGTTGCGTGTTTCTAGAGCATAAAAGAGCAGACTGGGCATTCGACTTTCTTTTTTTTCACACAAATTTAGGGAGTTGTGAGGTTGAAAAGCAATATAACGCGTAGTGTGTAAGAAGGCTCATGCGCTGCCTCATAAGCGCGTGTACTTTACGAGTGATTTTACACAGCCAGAAAGTGCTCGTATGGTGGCGTATATTAAAAACGTGTGACTGCGGTACTTTGAGCCGAAAAAATACGATTACTATGGTGAGAAACTTTATCACTTTAATAATTATTTTCCTTCCAGAGTGGAATTACCTTCTTTCTTCGAGAAGTTGGCATTCATGGTCTGACAGAAAGGTACAAATTTCTTAAACATTCAGCAAAGCGTAGCTTTGGTGTACTGTCGATGTTACGATTAACCTACATGCAACCTCTTCCAGAGCAGATTAAAATCACTCTGAGGTGATAAAGCTTCCTGTGGGGGCTTCTCAAAGTGGTGCGTTCTGAATATTTTGGAGCTTTTGACATATGAGGATTCGGCTAATTTTAATTCTCAGCGTAAGAAGTATTACAACGAAGACTGTCGCAATCATGTTATTGTAGCCGACGGTAATCGAGAATATATGTTAGCGCAAAATTGCTCTTGGCAAACCAAGAGAGTTATAGGGTAACCCAGCAGTGAGCACCAATCTTTTGCGCCGATAACCAGTGCCGTGAAGCTTCTGGCTCCGTGATTGGCTGAGCACAGCCGCTAGCTTTCGTAAAAGAAATGTTGTGATGCTGGTGTTTGCAATAGCAAGTGTATGGTGCACCATGTGCAGCTCGAGAATGTCGTTATAATAAACTGCAAATAAAATATTAGTGCACCAGGAGTTACAGCCTAAATTCTAGTTGGAAGCGATGGTGATATCAGGAGCCACAATTCCTGTAAATGGTTGGGGCTGTAATGTCCTTGTGATGGTTTTCTTGTGCAATTGCTTAACGGCGCGAGACGCCCATTTGTTGTTCAGTCTTAGTTCTCCGATCATGTTCTGTTATTTACATGATGATTCATTTGAATTGACCGTATAACGGCTTTTGGCTCAAGACCCATTAAAAGCCACTAAAGAGAGGAGTCAGAAGAGGTTCATGCTCAGCTAGAGGCGTAGCCTCCACAACTCTCAGACAGACCGCATCAGTCGATTGAAGATTGCAGAAGACCTCAGTTCCCAGATTTTATGAGAAACAATGAGGCCGATTCTCTATAGATGGTTTCAAGATTGCGAATGTACACTCTAAAGAAAGAGCGAGTAAAAAGGATGACTTTTTTGTTCCACAACAATAATCGTCATCTATATTGTGTTCCATCTTTGCGCTATCGCCCCGTTCCCGGTACATTCCTGTCACGATCGGCAGGCCCATTATCAGGGTTACATTGCATTCTCGATAGGAAAGTGGCCAGCGCCGAATTTTCAAGAAAGGAAGCGCACGCAAGCTTGATGATGATTATTGTTGTGGGACAAAAAGACACCCTTTTTACTCGATGTTTTTTTTTTCAGAGCGTAGAAGCAAGCGTTGTACAAAAACTAATGTTTGGTTAGCTCATTTGCCAGCTCCTGACGTCAAAACATAAGCATGTTTTATTTTTTTAGAGTAAGGAACGTCTCTCTTTAGTTTTTCAGATAAATGGAACGTGCATAAAGTTTAAGGGAGTCTCTTAATGTTTTTTGTAGCTCGAACGAGCATTCATTTGAGTATATTCTGCCAAATAGGAGAATGGAAGGGTAGAAAATGAGTGGGCTATTTTAACGTGATAGCATTAGAGAGCTCGAGTCGCAGAAACTCTGCCATCGGCGTCGGCATCGTTAGTTGTGAGCGAAAAATTGCCCGTGAGCAAAAAAGCTCGTCACAGAGATCGCCGCGGGAGGTCACTACCTTTCCATGCGTACGCGCGTTAACACACTTGAAAAGCCGCACATTTGAAAAAAAAAAGTTCTCAAGGTAACGAGGCACGCGTGGCATAGTTCCTTTGCCCTGCCACCTTTCCCTGCTTAGCTTCCAGCGCTTTCGTCGGGACGAGGGAAGAGAGAATGCAATCGCAGCATGCAACAAACCTTTGTAACTCCACTCGCACTAGACGGATTCTTAAACATTTTGCGGCGTAGAATTCGTGAGGCAGCAAGCTCTTTCATTGAATTCAATCGATTAATACTTGAAAAAGTGTTTCAGGGCTCCTTTAACGCATTTTGCTCGACAGATGTCACAACGAAAAAGAGCCCAATCGGCGAATTGTAGGCGCAGTTGGGAGGCCACAAATTACGTCGAGAAATTCCGAGATAGGGCAGTCATTGCCGCTAAAAACACATAGGAGCTTTCAAATAGCTTGAAAAATAGACAACGGCAAATATAGCACGCCTTTTCAGAGGCCTTCATCAAGCAAACAACAAACGCTAGATAATGTGCTGCCATCTGTGAGGCATTGTGAGACTTTTTATAACCTCTGAGATGGCGAGCGCGTGGCGTGCATTTTGGCCACGTGACTCTTGCTTTAGATCGAAAACCTATATATAACATTCGCGCGCACTCGCTGGTACAGTCTACTGTGTGCGTGTGTGTGTATATATAAAAAACACATATCAATAAATTTGCACTTAGCGGTTGAAGGGCGTACTAGGGGCCGGATTCCGCTATCGCGTTCAACTATTATAGGCGAAGCTTAAGGCTTCACCAATTTTTCTAGAGCTCTTGCTTACCGTTGCTATTAAAGCACATGAATGAACACTACTGGACTTCTTAGGGTTTGTGTTTGTAAGCAATGAAAAGGTTCATGAAAGCACGCCTAGCTGGTTCCTGTAGCCTCTAGTTTTCCTCAGATGTGAGATTCTTTGAGTATTTGGTGTGTTATTTCGATGCACAAATTCACATTTGAGCGGTAGTGTGACGTTACCTTGAGAATATGCTTGAAAAGTTGGTTTTGCAGATGGTTACCCCTAGGGTTGCTTGATGCATGCGCTCCCTTGAAGAGTGGAATTATTCTGTCAAGGACTGAATGCTTCTGGTCGGTGGCCGGCATTGGGAGTCTCGTCGCGGCTAGTTCAGTAAAGCTTGTGCACGGCGTTTTAACGCAATAGCGTTAAAGAGCTCGTGTCATAGAAATCCCACCGCCGGCGTCGGCCCCGTTGGTTGTGAGCGATAAATCTTCTGTGCGTCTGTGACCGAAAAGTCAAGTTACCCAGATAGCCATGGGAGGCCGCTTCTTCTGCACGCGTGCACGCGCAATAACAGTGCAAAACTTTACTTTTTTCTTCAAACGCGCGGCTTTTCCACTGTGTTTGCGCGCGTGCGCGTGTAATCACAGTGCAAAAGCCGCCAATTCGAAGAAAAAAGTAAAGTGCTCGAGGTCACGAGGCGCGGTAGTTTCTTTGTTCTTCCACCTTTCCCTGCTTAGCTTCCAGCGCTTTCTTCGGGACGAGAGAAGAGATAATGCAATTGAAGCATGCGACAAATCTTTGTAACTCCACTCGCACTGGACGGATTCTTGAAATGTTTGCGGAATTAAATTTGTGAGGCAATAAGCTCTGCGAGTAAATTCATTCCAAGGTTACTTCGAAACGTGTTTCAGGGCTCTTTTAACGTATATTTTGATAGGTGTCACAACAAAAACGAGCCCATTCGGTGATAATAGTGCGCACTGGTTCAATCTACTATTTGCATGTTTGTATGCGTGCATGTGTATGTAACAAAACATATGAATAAGTACGCACTTAGAGGTTGAAGGGTGCACCAGGGGCCAAATTTCACTATCGCGTTCAACTTTTAAAGGCGAAGATCGAGAGTCTCCCAATTTTTGTTCTCGGGCAATATGCACGCGTATTGGGTGCTGCCTTACGCAAACCACTAGCTATAAGGCTATAAGTTATTAAGATTTCCGAAAGGTCCAAAAAGTCTACTCGTGCAGCTGGTAAAGGGCAAGCATGACAAGTTTATGTCAACGGACCTTTCGTATTTGAGCAGAATAAGTTAATGCCAATTCAGCATTTAGTCAGGTATAGTGCTTTATAGTAATAAGGGCTGCAGCGCGAGCACGAATGTGCTAGAAGAAACAGACAAAGTCGAGGTACGGAAGGCAAAAGAGGACAACACGAGCGCTGAGTCCTCTTTTGCCTTCCGTACCTCGACTTTGTCTGTTTCTTCTAGCACATTCGTGCTCGCGCTGCAGCCCTTATTACTATGAATTCAAACCAACTAGCCCAAATCGCCATTCTTCTATAGTGCTTTACCATGGCTACTTTTGATCACAATCTAGCCTGTATGATTTGATTGACTACCTTGAACAAGCTGAAGAAGGACGCCAATAACCCATGCTCAACTTGTGCATGGTCATGCTCAACTTGTGCCAACTTGCTCCACTTGGAGCATAGTCATGCTCAACTTGTGCCGCAGTGCCCCTAAAGGGACACTGCGGCACAAGTTGAGCATGACTACACCACCGCTTCTTCTGGAGCTGTGGAATGCGCCGTTATCATTGCGCAACTGCCAATGCCGAAATCGAAGCTGTTAATATTTTAATGTACTGGGCAAGCTACTTTTTTTAAGGCAGCGAAATAATATCTACAAAGCACTGCTACTCATGCAGTAGGTTGCTTTCTGTAGGAATAAAAAATAGCACAAACGCACTAAATGAGAAAAGAAATTGGCTTCTGCGGTATTGCTTACCAGTATGTTTCGACAATATTCATGCGTTTTATTTTGGCTTGGAATCATTGTAAAAACCTATTTGTCGCATTACAGTGCAGCATTGAAAACACTGCTCCCGAGTGACATGATTATCTTCTGCGACATTTTAGTGAGCTTTCGTGTTTTATAGGGACATATATATTCCGCGAATACGCTAACTTTAAATTCAGTATTGCATGGACAAATTTTCGTATTGAGGAACTTAGACTCAGTGAGTGAATGATGTAATATGTGTCTTCGTATAGCCTTGTACTTGCATTGTAATGTGCGATGAGGATTGTTGTGCAAGAGCAAAGGAATGGCCGGCGCGACGCATTGGCACGAACATCTCCTCATATACATAATAACTGACTTTACTAGGATACGCACCGGCTATTTCTATTATGGAAAGTGACGCCATGGCATGTGATATAACGACGATGGCCACTCGTTTTTTATTGGCTGGACGTGACAGGAAGTGTGCAATATTCCTATGGTGCCAGATAGATAGTAGGAGTAAATACTAAAAGCAGTAAATGTCATTTTTCTACTTTTTCAGAAAGATATAATTTGTGGTTTCAAATGAGCTATTTTGGTAACTATAAGCATAACACTCATTTTTATGGGCACACTGCGCTTGCACAGGCGGCACCACAAACACG